GCTCCTGCGCTCATGGCCCGGCCTGGGGCGCCCCCTGGTGCTGCGCCCTGCGTCCCCAGGAGCGCCTGGGCAAAGGGCAAGGCGGCCCGACCGCCCGTGGCCTGGAAGGGGGCACACGGGGACGCCGGGAATCCCTCATGGATGGAGGAGGAAGCGGACTCCCCAAGACCAAGGGCTGCTCCCCACACAGCGAGCGCGGCGCGGGCTGAAGGGCGCACGGCAGGTGTGCTCTTCCCTCGGGGTGGCCCCGTGGAGGCTCGCAGATGCTGGCCCAGAAAATGAACTCCAGTCAGACCATTTCAAAGAAGAAAGGGGTGCTGGTGGGGATAGGATGGGCATCTAGCGGGGAGGGGCTGGGTCGGTCGGGGGGCCCCAGGGCATGAGGGGCCGAAAAGTAAAACCCGAGCAAGCAGGGCGGCCGGGGGCGGCGTGGCAAAGGGTCCAGGAGTGGCGAGGAGCCCTGGAGGGGCAGGGAGGGGGCAGGTGATGGTCAGGAGAGGGCCAGGCAGGCGGGGTGGCTCCCCCTAAGAGGATGGGGCCTGGCTCACAACCGGGGTCATCGCAGCCTCTGGCAGGAGCTGCAGAGCAAGTTACAGAGGAGAGGGTGGTGGGCAGAGTGTGGTAGACATCCCGCTGCCTGAGGATGGTGGCCTCGGCCAGGCGGCCGGGGAGACCGTCACAGAGCTGGGGCCGACCACGAGAGGGGCTCAAGGAAGCGGGACTCCCCGGGGTCCCGGCCGGCCGCCCAGCCGTCCTCTGGAGGTGCTCGCGGCGCCCAGTGCGGAGTCCCTGGACAGGGCAGAATGCGGGGCACAGACAGTGACGCAGCGGTCTGCAGGCGCCGAGGGCTGGGGCTGGCCGCTGGCCGGCAACCGCCGGGGATTCAGGATCCGGCTCTCCCGAGGGCGAGGTCCGCTGCCCGCTGCCCAGTGTGCCAGAGGGGCAGCTGAGACGGTGGCTGCTGGCGCCGGGGGCCAGGGCCAGCCGTGGGGCCCTGGAAGGGTTTGTTCAGGAGTGTGCCTGGGACAGGGTCTCTGCCCCCCAGAGGGACTCAGAGCTAACGCCCCAGACACCAACACCCGGGCTCGCACACACCCACCCCCAGAATGCGCCCGGCCACAGCGGGGTGTGTCCCCACACTGAGCAGCCTGTGTCCATGGCTTGTGAGAGCCACAGCAAGATAGGGCAGCCCCTTGCAGGGTATTCCCAAGGAGTACTAGCACAGAGCGCACCTGAAAGCCAAGGAACATTCTGGGTGAGCAAGGGGAAGGTGGATGGTTGGATGGATACTCAGCGGATGGATGGTGGGCGGGCGGGTAGGTGCCTGGATCGATGACCTGACGGGCAGATGGACAGCAGATGGGTAGTGAGCAGAGGATGGTGGGTGGCGGGTGGTGGTGGTGGTGGATGGATGGTGGACAGTGAGTGTTTGGCTCAATAAGCCGTGGACACATGGAAGGGCGGGTGACAGGCAGTGGGAGGGAGAATGTGAGCGCAGTGACAGGTGGGTGACTGATGGCTGGCAGCTGGGTCTGCCTTTGAGCTGAATGGAGACCTCGAGTCAAGCTGGCAGAAGGGAGGTAAGCCGCTGCCACCCACTGCCCGGCCATGCAGCCTCTGCGGGAGAGCGCTGGGTCTCCAGCAGGGCTGACTGCTGCGGGCTGGGAAGGCCCCTGGGCAGGGGGCCCCAAGATCCTGAGCCGCTCCCCCGCTCAGCCAAGGGCTCCTTCACTGGGTCCACCCACTCTCCCCACCTTTGTGTTAAAGTGTAACACCAAGAACTGCCTGGACCTCGGCACACAATGGGCGTCTACCAAGAGCACAGGCGGCCGGAGGCAGCCCTCAGAGCCTCTGTCAGATCCCCGCCCTGCTCCCTTGCCACCAGCAGCCGCCCGGAGGTCCTAGCCACCCTGGAGGGCAATGCCCACCCCAGAGGGCAAGGCCACCTTTCTCTGGTTGGTGGCTGCTGCCCCCTTCTGGCCGCCTTTGGAAGTGCGTGTGGGCGTGGCGCCCTTGACAAGTTGCAGGACGTGGCTGCCAGCTCCGGGCTGGCTCACTAACATCCGGGTGGCAGGACCCAGACAGCCCGTGGGCAGTCCTCTCTGCTGCAAGCCCCTGGGACCCCCGGCTCAGCTCCCCTTCTCGGAATCCTGAATCACCACCCCGCACAGCTGCTCCTGCCTCGTAATGATCTATGCACAGGACTGGGGGGGCGGGTGTCCTGTCCACTGATGCCCCTCCTCCAGGAAGTAGTCCTTGGAGGTCCAGACATTTGAGGAAAGCCCTCAGGGTGAGTAAGAGTCCAGTAACGGGACACGGAAGCCCAGGGAGGGAGCCACTCGTGCCCGGCCTCGCTGGTGAAGGGGCCTGTGTCCAGGGCCGTGGCAGTCGCTACGATTTGGCCGTTGGGGACACAGGCTAGGGGACACAAACGGCATTTGTCAAGCACCCCACCACGCCCACTAACACTTTGGGGATCCCCCACCTCCCCGGTGCTCCACCCTCTTCATGCCTTACAAGCATCGCAAGTCCTCGCATTGAAGCAGACCCCAGATAGAGGAAGCGCTACTGGCCTCCTGGGCCCCTGCACCCTGCCCAAGGGCCTCACCTCCTGCCAGAGTTACGGGGGAGCCCCCGGCTGCTCCCCACAGCAGAGAGAGTCTTTACTGTAGTCAGTGTTCACGGCAGCGTTATTGGGCAACCACACCAGGCATCAGCTGATGAAGAACAAAGCGACATACAGACCAGGTGAAATGTTATTCGGCCATAAAAAAGGATGGAGCACTAGTTACACAGAGGCTGCTCTGTGAAAGGAGCAGACGCAAAGGACCACGGTGCGGGGGTGCCGCCTATAGAAAATGTCTTGACAGTCAACTCCAGAGAGAGAAGGAAACTCAGTGTGCCAGGGCCTGGACGCAGCTTCCACTTGGGCTGAAGAAAACATAGTTAGTGGCTCGTGCGGGTGGCACGAGGGGTTTACGACAGTGGGAGCTGCTGCCTTTTACCCTTTGGGTGGTCAGTGTGGCCTGTCGCACATGCGCTCACACCCACACACAGCAGGTCCGGACAAGGGTCACTCAACACCGCTGCCTCACAGCGCCGGCGGCAAACCTGCAGTGAGGTCTTTCCAGACCTGTTTCTGGCGTGTCCCCTCCCTGGAAGCTGCAGTTCCCAAGAGCCCTCATGCCAGCAACGGGGTCTGTGTGTGTGCAGCTCCGGGCTCCCGAGCTGCAGGGCGCCATCTCCGGGACAGTGCGGCGGGCACTGACCTGTCCTGGGGCTCAGGCCTGCCCTCCTCCCCGGCTTCCCCCAGCTGCCCCGCCTGCTCACCCCAAAGAGGACCCACGCTTACTCCTCCAAGCGGGAAGACGCTCCTGTCCCAAAGGGAGACCCACCCCACGGTGGGAAGACGGTGCCCCCCTCTCCTGCCCAACGCCCTGGGGAGACCCTGGGCCCTTGTCCCAGCGGCCTTGATGCACACAGCTCACGCTGCAGGCCCGCTGGCGGGCTGTTTATTGACCCCGGAAGGAGGGATGGCTCGTCTTCCCTAACCGAGCAAGGGGCTGCGTCCACCCGGCGGGGCATCCTGCCCCGTGCTTCATCTTTATCTGGGTGACGTCAGCTGGGGCACTGATGACACGGGCGCCGGGCAGGCAGGGACCTTTGGACCTTGTTCCCGAATCTGCCCCAGCACCCACTGTCTGGCACACAGGAGGTGTCCTTTGAATAAATGTTCTGTGACTGAATGACTGCACATTTTAAACCAAATATTAAACCTAAATAATCCTATAAGTCTTTCTACCTTGCCCTTCGCCAAGTATTAATAATGCACTTATGACACCCGCCAGGCAGCACTGCCCAGGAAGAGCAGACCCCGCCCGGGGCTCGGGACCCCCGAACTGTCCCAGCGGGTGCGACGGGCCACAGCGCGCGCGACGGGCC